TACAAAACACCCGTAATTCCATGTACTGTAGCTCCCAAAATTGCAGACAGCCGCAGACTGTCTTCAATTTTAGGCGCCACCCTTTTGTTTGTCCTGTGACAAATATGAAAACAAATGGCAACACTTCTTGGCACTGTCGTGTGCCTGTGGGCTCCTTAGAAAGCAGTCTCCATTGTGGCTAAGGCTATTTCATTCCAACTGTGCATGTGTGTGTATCTATTTGTGCTGCAGATCATGTCTATGTGACGCACTTGGTACATCCTGTGCTTGTAGTGGCTGGATCACTTTACACCCAGTGACCTCCTGTGAAAGTTAACTGCTGTTTTACTGTGTTGCTCCACATGCCCACAGTGGCTAAATAAGGTCTGTGCGGTTGAACTGACAGAAATCCTCACATTTGTCTTTTTCCTCAGCATGTCTGGAAACAGTGTTTGCTTTTCCACTCACGTCAGTTGCACAATATCCAAAATAGTTGGTTAAAGAATGTGTCAAATGTTGCAGAGGTACTGCACACTGGGTGTAGCTGTGGGCTTACCAAAGCGAAGGGTGAGTTACAGATCATGTAAGGGTTGCAGCATGTGGCTTAAATGTCAGGAAAATCTGAGATGCATTGCACTTGATTTAACAGGCACAGAAACAGCACCTCAAAAGCAGAAACTTAAACTCATGTTATGTGTTTTAAAGGACAGTTTTGTAAACCACAAGGCAGCTGTACCATGACAATTTCTTGAAAAGCATAATAAGTAATCTGTAGGTTTAAAGGAACATTTCACCCACAAAATGATTATTTGCATATCAGTTACACACCCTATGTTATGTTGCATTCATGAAGAAAACTTTGTTTTTCTTGCATGCCTCCAGTGAGCAAAGATTCCAAAAACAGAGAAAATTCATGATGATACAAGATCCATATTTAACAACAGCAAAACTAAATCAAAACTCTCACACAACTTGTGCAGTATAATCCAGGTCCTATTTATCCACTCAGAACTTACCAAACGTTCATTTTTGCTGAAACGTAAAACTGGACTGAAAGTGAAACTTATCTCATCTTCGAAGCCATACTCCATTGAGAAAAACAGCAATTTTACCTCGCTGAACATGGGAGCTGCTGGTCCACCACTGCCTTGATCAGTTAGTTATTTGTGTTATGGTGTGACTTTGGTGTTATAAATGGTTCATTTGGATTCAGCCATGTCACACAACAACACAAACTACCGAGTGAAGCAGTCGTGGACTAGCAGCTCCCATGTTCAGCAAGGCAAAATTACTGTTTTAGCCAATGTAGTTGTAGAGAGAGCACAGATAAGATTCACTTTAAAGTTTAGTTTAAAATACCAATGTTTTAGCAAAAATGCATGTTTGGGAAGTAATGAGCATACGACTGGATAAATTAGACTTGGATTATACTGCACAAGCTGTATGAGAGTTTGTAAACAGATATTTTGATATCATTTTGCTGTTGTTAAACACGTCCCCCATTTATTTAAATCCATAAAGAAGTTTCTCTATTTTTGGATTCATCTTTCACTGTGGAGACATGCAAGAAAACCAAAGTTTTCCTCATGAATTCATTGTTACATGGTGAGTAACTGATATACACATGGTCATGTTGGGGGGTGAGGTATTCCTTTAAGGCTAAAGAAGGAAACAAAATATTTTAAACAAACAGAAACTCACAGTTTCTTTCACAAGTTGTTTTTTTTTCACAATCTTGCAAGAAGTTGTTTAAGCCAAAGTCACAACTGCAGTCCTTCTGTTTAACAAAAATGGTTTGCTATAAGTAAGAATTTGAGTGAAAACATGAATCATTCATACTCAGTTTCCCCCACAGCTCTCTGGTTATCCGCAGCAGGCCTTCTGTCCGAGGCCGCAGCTGTATCTATGGTAACAATGCTGTCTTTGTTTGGAGCTGTTTTTATCCGCGATAAGAATGGATTTAGAGTATTTCATGCATAAAGAATGAATCTAATCACTATTCCAAAACACTGATGGAAATCTCTGCAGTAAGAGGTCATATGCACAGGATATACTGAGAGTGCAAAGCTCAAAGAAAGCAGAAACTATTTTACATTGACAGCAAGTGTTTTTGAGGCCACAGAAAAGCTACTTGTATTTTGTTTCTTCTAAGTTCCAGTGGTGTGTAAGTCAGTGGCCGCTGCATGTGCACAAAATTTCTTCCTTCTTGGGAAACCCCTTTTGTATCTTTACCTCTTCCTATCTGCCTTCCTCTTGCCTGATGGATTTAGCACACTACCTCCATTCACACCTGTGATTGGACGTTGAACTCCTCTAATCAGCAAATGTCTTTGAGGTTTTTTGTTTTCAGTTATGACACATTTGCCAGTTCGTTGCACATTTTGGGCATTACTGTGTGTTCAACGTTTGCAGGTCCCAAAGAGGAAATAATCCCAGGTCATTCAGACCAAGCAGGTTTACAGACACACACTCACACACACACAAACACAGAGTCACCGGACCAAAAGGACTTCCTCATATTGTCCAGCATGTTGATGCAGGATATAACTTTGATTGATATCCCTCACTGCTCACGCTGAATTAACCGTTGTCTGTTTAAGGGAGTTCTTTACAACTTTTGAATGAAAGTTGGAATGTGTGGTGTGAGCGTGGTTAGCATCAAAGATCACAAACTGTTGGCTTTACAGCAATATGACAAGTTGTTTGACTGATTTATGACTCATATATAACCTCTAGCTCTTCCTGAGATACCTCATCGAGAGAAGAGAGCAGCAGCCATTCCTCTACTTCTTTCCGCCCAGTGTTGCATTTGTTATCTCCTCAAGAAATACAAAAAGCTGAATGAATTTCAAGGTGATGCATTTACCATGTGCCCCTTGTAAACACTGCACACACAGTTTGCTCCCACACTTGAATTTCCCTGTCAGGGAATTCAAGTGCCGTCACTCTGTACTTTTTTTCTCCAGTTGGTGCAGCTATAAGGAACAAACTCTGCAGGTGCTTTCCTTGCTCTTCCACTTTGTCCAGGTCTATATGTTTGAGGTCCATCTGTGTCAGTACACACCATGCTGTCCTAAGCTGGGGATTTCCAATAAAGCAAACACACATGCACATACAATACAACCCCCCCACTGCAGTACCACCTCTCTCTTGCTCTATGTAGGCACTTCCACACGTTGCTGTCAGGTCCTTCCTGTTTTCTGAGATTTCTGCAGCGTGCCTGAACGGATATGAGTGCTCCTGTTTTCTGTTTAGCTGTATTGTTTGAGACCACCGCGATGCACGGCCACGCCTGCCCACGTTGGGAAGGTGTAGATAGATATGTATCGTAGCCGAAACTCAGACCAGGAACTGATTCACATTAACAGTAAACAGTCAACAGCCATGGGGGAATTTTGTTTTACTGGCATGTGGCCTTGGCATCTGTAACAGCATTTCATTTTCTGGGCCACTTGGCAGGTTTTACTGGCGTCGATGGCAAAAGAAATGATGTATACAAATCAGGGAAAGTCTCGCGGTGATTTAAAGCATGTTAGGAATGTAGTAGCCTATATCTGGTGTGGTTTGTTAAAATGATGGAAAAGCCACAATTAATGCTTTTGTTGTAAGGACAAAAGATTGACTCTGATTAATGTGTTTGCAACACCATTTTATTGCTTGTGTGTTGATATTATGTATTTGTGTATATAGTCATTTTATATGATCTATCTTTGCTTCTGTGTGCAGCTGCAGCATTAAGTGCTTTGTGTCAGTGCAGTAAACCACATCACTCTCATCTCAATGTCCACATGACTTAATTTGGTTCTTAACAGTTAAAACTCAAACTCCTCTCTACACCCTGGTGTTGTTTGTAAGATCAAATGTGTTTGTAAGATTACATCAGTTCTTTGTGTAACAAATACACAGAAAAGCCTGTGGACGTTGAACAAAGGTCAAACAAAATTTAGCCTTTTATCTGAATATTCCATTCACAGTAATAATAGCTTGACATACAGCTGAAAAACTATGATGGTGCTCCTGCAGACTGTGGTTTTTTGAGGCTAGTTATTTGGAAAAGTTATGAATGATGTGGTTTGTCTGTTTTTAAGCTTTTTTTAAACTCTGGCTCACTCTCTTTCAGCAGCTCTCTGTCTGTCTTTCTCTCTCTCTCTCTAAATATAGAGTGTTGTCTGCCCACTCATTCTGACAGAGAGGAAATGCTCCTACACTGCTTTAATAGTTTCCGTTAGAAAGGTAAAAACAGAGTGTAAGTTTGCGCATCTGTGTGGGCCAGAGTCCATGTGTGCACATAGACGCTTTTTGCATGCTGTGTTTGTGAAAGCTCTTACATTTCAGTGCTTTTTATATGCATGTGTGTGAGTACAGTGAGGTATTTTTTGTGTCTGTGTCTGTGTTTGTCTGTATGAAAGAACAAGACAAAGAAAAGAAAGAGAAGCTCTCTTTTGAGACATCATGTATATGACAGATGCCAGAAACAGGACGTGAGATGTAAACAGAGAGATGGGGTTGGGGGGGTTGAAAGACAGAGACAAGAGACTGAATACACTAGAGACAACCGGAAACTTGTGGTCAAACAGGCAGCGTTCAGCTGCTGAGGCAGCGCTGTTAACTCGCTGTTTTTGAAAGCGCTGCTTTTCTTAGAGGGATCAAGGTTAATCCATTACACAATGTACACATGTGGCTTGCGGAATGACCCCTAGCGCAATGTGTGTGTGTGTGTGTGTGTGTGTGTGTAGGAGGGAGCAAGAGAAAAAAGCAAGAATGTCAACAGGAAAGACGGCAAAATTTTACGAGTCATACTGTATGTCCAAAAATAGAAACAGATCCAAATACATTTGGCCGCGAGCCAACTGAACAGGGCTCACACAGGTTATGACTCCAACACCTGCGCATGCAAACACTCTCTCCTCTTTCGTCTCTCCGCCTCCCTCTCTCTTCGTCTGTGCTGACACACACCCACACTCACCCTCTCGCATTGCTTATCCCCTATCACAACCTCGTACCCTCTTACAAGAGGAAATACACTCAGCAGTGTGTGGCTGTCCTCACTTGCCTCTGCCTCGCTCTTGCTCTCTCTGTGTGTCACACGCTTGTTAGTTTCAGTACAGAGAACGTAGCGTGTGGATGTAAATGACCTGCAGGTCCGTGCTTACACAGAACAGGGTAAGTTTATAAATTTATTTCGTTTCAGTATTTTATTAGCTACGTTACACCTGTTTGCTTTGACTGGTAAATGATTAGGATAAATTGATGAAGATGGTTTTGGCAGTTTTGTTGGCCTATAGTGATGCTACAGATAAACGTTTTGACATTTTGATTTACTTTAATTGTTGGCTGGGAAGTTAACTAACAAGTTCCATACAGTGAAAACATTTGGTGTTGCCTGTTTTGAACATGTTTATGTGACTGAGGGTTCTTATAATAGAACATTTCTGGTATTTCTGTTGCACTTAGTTTACAAACAGCCTCATGAGCTGATTTACAGTCATGATGCTGCAAGCAGAGCATTAGAGTTTATTTTTAGGAATTTGCCCAAAAAGAGTCAAAGCATGTCAATCAGTAAAAGTCTCATCCACAACTCTCAGAAAGAAGCAAGTCTGTGTGTGTGTGTATCAGTGCTGCAGGAAATGCAGTTTCCTGTGGCAATTAGCGCTTAGTGTTTGTTGTGGTTTTGATGGATTATTTATGTTGGATATTTTAATTTTCATCATGAGGGATCTGAAACTGATCAAGTGTGATAAGGGTGATTTTTGTTCGTGTAGATTAACCAAATTTGACTATGAATTTAGTGTTCGGGAGGTTTGAGAGGTGAGTCACAAAGCTGTGTGGGACCTGAGATAAAGTAAGTGGTTTAAGAGCTGAAGAAGTTGAAGGTATTTATAGGAACACTTTCTCACGTTGATGGGGAGGGTTAGTGCGGACCACTGTGTGTTGGTAGGTGTGTGGGTGTTTGTGTGGCTACACTTTAATCCCTAAACTTTGGGTTTAAAGGGGCAGTTCACCCCCAAATCAAAAATACATATTTTTCCTGTCACCTCTGGTGCTTTTTATCAGTTGTGGTGTGAGTTGCGGAGTGTTGGAGAAATCGGCCGTAGAGATGTCAGCCTTCTCTCCAGTATAATGGAACTAGAAGGCACTCTGCTTGTCGTGCCAAAAAATATGTATTTGAAATCTAAACAGCAATGTCTCTTTCCATAAACATGACATGGCTACTCAAGATAATCCACAGACCTTATGTGAGTGATAATGAACTACACGGCCGATATCTCCAACACTTGACAACTTATACCAAAACAATTAAGATGGATAAACAGCGCTACAGGTAAGATGAAAAATGTGTAGTTTTCATCTTAGGGTAACTTCCGCTTTCACCCTTCAGCACACTGGCATAAAGGTAAACAGGAGGTGATATATTTCACACACAAATACAAGAAAGAGAAACGTAAAGTAAAGACACACATGTAGGTAGCAGCCTGCGTGTGAACTGAGAGTTTTAAATAGCTTCATCTGTGTAATTTTACACCCTGCTGCCAGCAAGCAGGCGGACAGAAAGACCGTCAACCCACTTAACCTCGGACATGACAGAACATGACTGACACTTTCCTCCCATGTCTTCTTTCTAATTACAGTTGATAGACCCACAATGCATGTGAAACATGACCAACAAGGCCCCCTGGGATAACTCAAGCAGTGTGTGCAGCATGGAGCCAACAGGTACACTCAACACATACACACTCAGATAAGCACACACTTTATGCAATGATGTGGATACAGTGTGTGCAGAAAAATATATTTGCTAACATATGTCTGACTTTTATGTTTATTTATGCTCTTTGCATCATCGTTTTTTTTGTGTATTTTTCAAAAGATACTGATACTTTTTGAGCAACGCCCTTACATATTTAGAGTTTAACACCCAACCTCTCAACTTTATTGTCAGCTGGCTACTCCCCCACAGTTCCAGAGCCAGAACTCTACCGCAGCATCCAGGCTGTGCTGCCCAGGGACACAGACAGCCAGCAGAATCCAGACTGTTATAACAAAGGTACTATAAATGTATTATAACACCCTGAAATAAAGTTTTTTTCTTAGCACTGATGTGGTTTTATTTGTTTGTGCTGTTGTCAGTGCTCACATGTAGCGTGAAATCTAACAAGTAAAGAGTTTGGCAACAGGAAAAAGATCAACTTCAGCATGTAAATAATGCATTGGCATTAGCAGTGGTTCAGTATATCTGCACATGTGGATTAGACGTCACAAAACTGACTCGCTTCTTTGCTGAAGACTTCATTTCCTTCTGTGTGTTCCTATAACCAAAGCAATTCCAGCTCATAAACCACCCTGAAGAGATAGTTACTGAAGTCAGGCTGTGAGTGTTAATCACGCTGTGGAACATTTGGCTCAGTCAGCAGTATGAGGGCTGTTCAGTTGTTAGTCATTGGACATATTTTGGATTAGCACCGTAATGGAGAAAAGTGTGACACATTTAGCAAGTTTGTGTTAGGCCTGTGGAAATCTTGCATCTGCTAATGGCGTATGTGTTGATCTGTGTGTGCAGGCATGCTGAGATGGACTCTTCATAAGAAGGTTCAAAGCAATCCTGCCAACAGCTTGTCTCTGGTGTGGGTGCTGATAAAAGAGCTGGAAAAGGTATGTTATCTCAGCTGTGGTACTGATGACACTTTGAAACTCTAATTATATACCAAACAGCTGTGTTTTGGTGCCAAACACTGAATTGTTTGACCATATTTTGATTATTTTTTACTGTTAATCTGTCAATCAACTGATCACATGTACAATGTGCAGTGGGGCCCTAACAGTGTGTGTGTTTTCTCTGCAGGCTGAGAGATGGGACTCTCGCAAATGCATCATCCCTCTGCTCCACACACTGATGTATGCCATCATTCAGGTACAGTATCGCCTTCACATTTTTGCACAGTGAGAAGCTGCCTTTGAATTGCTTATTCTCCTTATTACATCATTTACTGAATACGTACATGTCGCTTAATCAACAGCCACACTGAGTAGATCATTTCTGTAATTTTACTATTTTCACTGTTGCTGCAAAAAGTACCTAACTGGAGAAGGAAATTGTTTTTTGTTTTTGTAACAAATGTCATTAAGGAAGTGTACACCTGAAAAGATGGCATTCGGCCCTGTGCAATATTTTTCCTCATATTTGAGCCACAACGTTATATGACAATTACTGTTCAGTTACTGTAAAAGGAAAATGGTAATTGCTTTCCTTACCAGCATTGGTCTTAACCTGTGTGTGTGTGTGTGTGTGTGTGTGTGTGTATGATGTGTATTTTTGTTGCTATTCCAGACAGCCTACATTCCAGATGAGCTGTACAAGCGGGTTTATGACTTTTGTAAGAGACTCCTGACCTACCCTCATCCCTACTGCACTGTAGGCCTCAGCTACACGAGGCAGATAAAAATTGAACGCTCCATTCCAGGTATGATTTAACTCTCAGCTTGGCACTGCAGTCTCATTTGTTCATTAAAAAAAGAGGAGCTTGAGCTTAATCAGTGTCATCTAGTCATCAAACACAACACATACAGCCTGTAAAGTTTTGACACTTTAATATGGGATTCTGTTTGTATTCATAGCTAAACTGTTTAATTTGAAAAGTTACCAGCATTGATATCACTCTTTGTCTCTTTCTCGACCTTTCTTCAACATCAAAGGAAATAAAAGTCCTGTATTCTAGATCAGTGATGACGGTGATAATTATTCACAGGTATTTTGTCATGATTGTGTGCTGTTTTTTTGCATTTTCCACAGAGGCCAATCCCTCAGGCAGGTCAATCAACACTTTAATTACTTATTACTCATACTGTTGACGTGGGAATTAAATGTCTTGACCCAGTTCCAAGAAAGGGCAGTAAAGGCAGAATAGGACCGGATGATGTGAAGAAAATCAAACATCACAATGTTTTTTTTAAAAATATCTCAATATATATATATATATATATGGTGACAATATTTTAGGGCTGACTATAAGTACTTTCACAAAATATTTACACAATGTGATTTCTTTAAAAACAATCATCAGTAATGTGGATATAATGACTGTGGATGGTGGTTAAAGGCAAATATCACCCCTTTACCACCAAAATTAGCACTTTATAAAGGTGAGAAAAATTTCCCACTGCCAGTAGATAGGTATGCCTTTCCGTTTATTCGGGTGTGTCACAACCAATGTCATGACCACACAGGAAAACAGGTTTGTAAAGAGCAGAAAGCAGCATGGAGGCCAATGAGAATGTGGTTAATTCTTTTTATATCTGTGACTTACTCGGTCTCTCTTCGAAAGTCAGTGTTGACTCATTTGGAGCATGTTTGAGCGCTGCTTTGGCAGAGGCTGATGAAATTTGTTGCAGCACGTCATTGCATTATGCTGGAAAAGGTGCAAAAAAATAGCCACTGATCTGGGTTTTATGTTTCTGTCAGTGTTGATGGGAGTCATAGATAATAAATACCCATCTACTGCAGAGTGATTCGTCCTTGGAATAAATGCCGATTGTAACCTTCCCCAGTAAAGACAGAAGCCAGATGTCAGTGGGTGTTAGTGGGTTTTTTTTGTCCAGTGGGAAGTAGGCTTAAGAGAACAGCTAGGACAGTCTGATACTTATGAAACATTACGTCACTTTACTGTAATGCAGCCGTTAAAACCAGGAAAAGACAACACTTACGATATCCAAAATCCAGCACAATATCTAGTCTCATACCACAATATCAATATAATGTCGCTATGTTGCTCAGCCCTGAGGCATACCACACATGAGGAGAAAAACTGCATTAAACCAAACTGAAAACAATGAGCGAAGACAACAAATGCAGCCAAACCTAAGAGTCTGAAAGATAGTGGATGCTGGAGATGCAATAAGAAATTGACTGACTGACACCGGCTTATGCTGCAGACTTCAGCAGCCAGTCAGACCAGATGAGACGATTTCTCCCCTGACACTGCCTTGCGGGGCCCTGCAGCAAGAGAGTATAAGAAGCAGAAGGCCATGGCTCCAAGAAAAGCCAGATTATGGTTGCTGTGATGTTAAATGAACTGTCTACTCATCAATCATGCGTCAGTTAATCCATATGAGGATTTGCATTAAATGCCTGTTTGATCCACAGGTCTGATGTACCAGAGGATGGTCACAGCAGAGCAGAGGCTAAAAAATGAGCACTATCCCTTTCAGGAGAGGTGAGTCATAAATTAAAAATGTATCACATGTTTGAGGGTACAATAAAAGCCTTGGGTAAGATTTAAAAAGGCTTATGTAATCAAAGTTGCCTCCCGTTCCATCACTTAAGTCTGTCATGAACATCCCTGCAGGGTCTTCGTTCTTGCTGACCCAGAAGTCTTTGCTGGTTCTTTGGGACAACTCTTGGTGGGAGATATTGAGGCGTCCACTTCAGTTTCAGACTCAAATAGCTCTCCAAGTCCTCTGGATCACATGTGCAGTGTGGTCCAACACTCCATACAGGCTGCTTTAGGAGCAGATAAGTGCAACGGACCGAGACTGGCTCAAGCCCTAAAGGTCAGTGGAACTGCACAGCACTGTTCAGTTGTTCTCATTTATTGCCTTCTCTTTTCTGGTTGTCTTTTGCAGTCTTTGCAGTGTGTGGTCGTTCATAGTTGTTGTTGTTGTTGTCACTGCTATTATGCTTTGTCTATTTCCTGTTTGAGTCTTGTTCTGTTCAGGTTCACCTGGTCTGATCTGCTCTGTTATAAAACCTTCCTTATACTCAGAAAGATTTGTAGATGTGAATGTTTTCCGCATACTTGCCATTTCCTCTTATCGAGAGCCTGGCTCAGAATTCCCCATTTTTGATGGTTTACTTTATCTGAACATACTTCTGATTGAGTCTGTTTGTTCAGTTGAATTCACATCTTCTCTTTATAATTTTATATATATATTTCACATGTGAATGTGCAGTGCTGTCTGTCAGGGGGGAGTGAATGAGCTGCTTGTATCATGGAATCATGGGCATAATCTCCCTGGTAACTACACATAGAGCATGTTGGGAGATTTCATTAATGGTTGCAAGTCCTTAAGCAGAGCGATTCTCGAGCTTGAGAGTCAGGACTGGGAGAATATAATATTGTCAGGCTACGTTTATGGTAATGGCAGTAACTTTTTCAGTTTTTGCCACTGGATTAAAAACAGTTTAAGAGTCCCTGCCTCATATGTATGTGTTATGGGAAACATCCTGAATGAAGGTCTGTCTGCTGCACAGTGGAAGTGTCTCCTGGCACTGATCCTAAAGTAACACCTCAGCAGGACGCACAGGAGGGCAGACACACACACGCGCCCCACTAACCCCTCACCTCTCTGCTATTTATACAGACTCTGTATGTGTTTATCTTCCTGTGTGCATGTGTGTTCACCAACATATGTTTGTGTGCTTTGGAACAGGACATGGGTCAAGACGTTGAGTCGCACTTTCAGGAAGTGTTGGCGGCTCTGGAGCAGAGCACGGAGGAGGGCGGCAGAGGGGATGGGGGTGCGCTAAGGAGCCGTCTTCAGAGGCTGTACAGCAAGATCCTCACTGACACAGACTCAGGTAGGAGCTCTCTGGAAAGCACAAATCAACTTATTGGTGTAGCTTAAACATCAATAAAGGAAGGAGAACTGAAAGAACCACAGTCTGGACCGTCTGAACAGTCTGAACCACATCTGGTTATGTAAAAGACTGGAGTCTAATGGAAAAGGGGAAGCAGCAAGAGACTCGACGAGTGTGTTCATGTGTCAGATGATGTTCATGCAGTCTTGATATTAACTAATAAAAACATTCTGACCATACAAATGATCTGTACCAAAGGAATAGTTCAGATCTTTTGAAGTGGGCTTGTATGGGGGACTTATCCGTAGTCAGTGTATTACACACAGTAGATGTCAGTTGGTGCGTCCCTGTTTGGAGAAGCAGGCTGGAGTCTGACACAGGATCTAAGCAAGTACTGCTGTGAAGGGGTCAGCTATAAGACGTATTGTAGCCACCTAAAAAAATCAGTTTAAGTGTACCCTATTTTCACTGCTTTACCTTAATGTCAGAGGGGAACTGAAGCTGTTGTATCGTTTTTCTTAAAGCCAGACTCCACAGAATAACACAAACAAACTAACTGATCGAAGCAGAGGTAGACCAGCAGCTCCCATGTTCAGCAGCCAAAATTAATGTTTTTGTCAGTGGAGTCTGGTGGCTTTGATGAGAGCATAGATGCCTAATGGAAAGGTAAATTGGTGAAAATACTGTCAATATGGCATACACTTAAACAGCCACCATTGGCTATTTGGTTGCACTAAATGACATCTCCTTCAGTTGTAAAGGAATGATGAATATGGCATGGATTGTGCATGCATATTATGCTTGAGTCCTGTATTTTATCTGATTTCTTCTTTGGCATATTCCATTGGCCGTTGTCATAGTTTGCAGTCTGAAAAAAGTGTTCCTTCTCTACCAAATGTTGAAAATTGCACATAAATTTGTGGGTTCTACAGAGCTCTCACATGTTGTGCATGGGTTGTAAGGAAGGCAGTTTATGTGACTGGGGCAATGTATTAAAATTAATGGGGCAGGGAATTATCGCATGACTATCGCTACATCATCTTGGGCTTGTACTAATTAGAACTAAGTTGTTTTGCTATAAGCCAGCACAGTGGAGTGCAGTGCTCTGTTCAAGCACACATTGCTAGGTGATGGACATGTTTTTTGTGTTTGCAAGGGTTTGACATCGTTGGTTGTTGCTGAGATCAAATATGTGACCTTGCCTCTATGTAGCAGTTTCCTCCACGGCCAAATCAGTCGAGTCAGTTGTCTGTATTTTTATCATTCTCAGGATATCTATTTCCATGACATCCACTCTTTTCTCCCAATGTTCTCATGTCAGCAACACAGTCCAGTGAACCTGCTCTCCCCTCATCCCAGCTGTGACAGTGAGGGATAGACAGAAGTGTTTACAGACAGGAAGTTGTAGGGGTGGGGAGGTGTTTTGTTTTGAGTGTCATTGTGACAGTTTTGGTTTCTTCCTATCTCTCTTCCTCCACGTGCATGTGTGTGTGTATTGCAGAGCCATTGTCCAGTGGACAACTGCGTGACTGCCCTCTTCCTAACCCAGAGATGAGCTTCCACCTGTGGACGGAGGATCTGGATATCTGTGAGTAGCTTTGGAAACTGGGGGGGGTCTAGAGGAAGTCGTTACTACCAGTCAGCTGAACTAAAAAAAGGCTGAAACTGGAATTATTTACTCACAACTGAGCTGACTGAAGTGAACACTTTTGCACTGCTGTTCAACAAGCGTACACAGATAAATCCATAGTTGTTTATACACCAACAGTGGCATCACGACAATTACAATTAATGAAATTCATTTGTTATTTCAATCAGATCTTGAAGACAGACTGTCCGCACTGTTATGTGCAAGTAATTAGGTTGGATTTGTGTGTCCTCATAAGCGCTCCGCTAGTAGCACCATGGATCTGCCCAGCACTTCTGTCACTCTTTTCGTTGTGTGTTGTGTTCAGAGACACTTTGAAATCTGAATTAAGCAGCTGGAGTGTCAAGACTGAGACGCATCTGTAGAAAGCTGATCAGAATCGCATGTCTGAACAAGGCCTTTGGAAATCATTTTGAAATTCTGAAATGACGAAAGTAGATGCCTAAAAAAAACAATTACACCACTTTCAGTGTGGCACAGTGTGAGAATGTGTGAGGGGTAGATTGCTCCTCAAAGTTAATCAGAGCTAGACTCAAGTAATGTAACAAACAGATTTAACTGGAACAGATTTGTTTTGAATCAGTGGAATTGTGAGACTGACTATTCCCAAGACAAGTGTACACTTATAGTACGGCCTTTATGTTCTCAGTGTAGGATGTCATACAGTAAAGTGTAAATCATCATACTCAGTGAAACAGTACACGTGGTAAAAGCTCCGGTAGCTTTGTGTGACTTATAAATGAAGAGGTTATGTCCTGTCCTGTGTTACGTCTTTGATAAGATACTGTGTACCATACATTGTTTACTGTAAAGGACAGTGACAGTTGCCTGTAAGCACTGTTGCATATGCAGCATTAAATACTGAGATATCACATGGCAGGCACGTATGTGAATAGATTCTTTAGATGGAACTGTAGTTCTCTCTCAGGGAAAGAGCCAGCATGTGTACTCTGCAACCCCATAACAAAACGGTTTCACATGGAAGAAAACACATGTATGTGGTCTGTTTATGACGAGGCTGCATGTGAAGTGTGCACGTGTTCTAAGCCCAGATAAATTATGACAGTTGGAAGTGAATAAACACAGAGAGAGCAGCTGAGATGATTATTGAACGAAGTGTTGTTCTTTGTTGTGTCTCTGTGCTGTGGCATGTGCTTGCTCCACGTGATTGTCGACCTCTGAATGACTTATAATGATGAATGTTGTGATGTTGACAGGGCGAGAGCTGGCCAAGTGGTTTCGATCCAGCTCCATGTCGGAGCAGTTCTCCCTCAGCCACGAGCAGGAGGACTTTGAGCTGGGTGAGTCGCCCAGTGACCTGATGCCGTCTAACATGACGCGCTTTTCCGTCATGTCCAACGACAGCGGCATTGAAAGAGACCTGCCCCCTGGCTCTGATCCTTCCCCATCGTCATCTCTGGACACTGCCAGCATGAGTACATCATGGGAACAATGCAAAAGGTAAATTCAGTACCTATTAGTTTACATTAAGTAGATGCCTACTGTTAGTTTCATGTATTTTACTTAATTTGCAGTCTCTGCAGCCATTTTCCAAAGCATACCTTAGTTTTTTAGATTTTTAGAGCCAATGATTTCCATGAAAATCATCCTGAAAACACTTAAAAATAGGTGATAATAAGAAGGTAATCCTCACTGAGACCATTTATTGTAGGTCACATGATTTTTGGTTTGAGAAAACACTCGCACAAGGATTTAAAAGTTGTTTCCTAAACTTGAGAATGTGTTGCTCATAATGGGATCTGTTGAATAACTTGTTTTGGTTTCCAAGCCTAGAAAAAAGTACAAAAGCACACCCATCCAGATTGTAAATACTAGGCGTTGACAGAAGGACATGTAAAATGCTAGAGAGTGAAGATCCTCTTTAGACTTCTTTGGTCCGAGAAGGAGCTAAATGCTCGAAATGTCACTCGGTGGTTATTAAATGTACATTCATGGGAACATTTGCTAGTGTGCAGACTTTGTTTCCAAGCCTTACATCATTTTAAAATCATCAGGACTTTCCCTTCTCTCAGTGAGCAAGATTCAGCAAGGCTGTCACGGCGTGGAGGCATCAAGATGAAACCATCTGTGAAGGACAGTATGGCGCTGATGCAGGACACCCTGGAGGAACACGCAAGTCTCGGAGGAGGAGGTGGAGGGAAGGGTGGAAGAAGAGGGGAGACTCTGCAGAGGCGGGCAGGTGGCAACGCGATGCAGAACCCCTTCCCCAAGCAGCAGAGACACTTTACTGCCAGGATAGTCGCCATGGGAGATGACAGGGTGCTCGGCCGCCTGGCCAAGGCCTACTACTTCCTCAGGTGGGGGGACTCGCCGTGTCTCAAAATGCAGATGAAAGATGATGAAGCGTCTTTCACAGCAGCTGTGGCTTGTGTGTGACTGACTGATCTGGTGCAATATATTGCTTTCAGTTTGACATCCCATTAGTACATTGTACTGAGGTAGTTTTGTCTCTCTGGAAACTGAAATTAACACATTACCAGGTATGCTGGTCTTTCTCATGAGCACTAGAACACAACGTTCTGATACACTTAAATCTCACCACAAACATTGGGTTACTCCTCTTAAATAGGTAACATGAGATTCTGGAGAAACTTGCTCCTTTTTTGGCATAAAGAGGAAAACATATTTGCTCGAAATGACTGTAAATAAAATAGAGTTGGAAAAAAATGCCCCTCTCTAATGCAGGTAAAGTTTATAATCTAGATGGAAAAATATTTTGGCATAAAAATATTTGTGGTAACTATTAAGATACACATATTCACCATTTATTAGCATGAATAATAGAAGCATTTTGGCTCTGTGCCTTATTCTGCTTGACCATGTTCTACAGAATAGTTTTCTCTCAACAACCTCCTAATTAGTGCTAATTGATAGTAAGTAAGAAAGTTGTTGTACATAAATTACAATCTTAATATGCTTTGCTGTGATAGTACTGCAAGAATAGTCATTCTTCTTTTATAACACAAAATAAATATAGTCATTTTATATTCAACAAAACACAACCCTACACGTGTTAATAGTGTCCACATAACTCTAAAAGAAGTCTTTCTAACTCAGAATATGTTTCCTGTATTGCTCAACTAATTCACTTGTACTTTGTCACTTACTAACCCACACAGGTTCCCTATTCTAAAGTTGCCCTCTCTTGACAGTAAATCCATTATAGCACACAACTACCAGATTAACAGACTCCATTCTCAAAGAAGTATTTCACTGCTGGAAAGATGGTCTATTCATAAAACTGGGCTGTTCGTGCGGTAGAAAGATGGAAATACTGTTGAAATTAGATGCTACATGACCATAGAAAACATAGGAAAACCACTACCAGACTACCAGAATACACTGCACCCCACCTGACCGTTAGACTCTCCTGCTGGTGGGTGACAAAATGCAAACTTGGCCGTTTTGACACAGGAAACAATATGGTGGCCGGCCGGTAACAAACAATCTAGAACTGCAGTTAAACAGTAAGTTAAAATATGTTTCTGAAAACATTTAAGGTGAGAAATGAAATTGATCAGCACTGCCTAGTCTTATACTTTGGTCTGAGTTTGAAAGAGACAGGGGCAAGTCTCTTGATCCACTTCAATACTCTTTGTGTCAATGGTGGCAGACATTCAGAAATGAGAAAGTACAATCTGTAGTCCAAGCAGTTTGAGCTGGAAGATGCGCAGGGAGGCCTGGGCGTTGGTGGGATGGAGGGAAGTTTACCACAGTTCATGTTCTCACGTTACCTACATTGTTAAAGTACAAAGCTGGTTGAAAATCGGCAAAGTATGCCTTTGAGTGATTTACATCATATAAAAAATGGAGGTCTATTAAGATGCACAGGTTCTGTTCCGATTAAGTGACAGAAGGACAAAGTCAGCATATGCAGAAATATCACCTTTATTAATGGATCCCTTCAGAGATTTTTAAACATATCTATTAAAAATATACTGCCGTATCACTTCAGAATAAGGTGTGTTTATTCCAGTAGTTGTGTGCTGTAATGGATTTACTGAGTGTGAAGCGAAAGCTACTTCAGAATAGGGAACCTGTGTGGGTTGATAAGAGTCAGACTACCAGTGAATTACTTATTAACAAGGCGTCACTTTACAGTGGGCCACTATTAACACATGAAGTTGTGTCTTTTGTATAACAATAGACCACATTAATTAAGTGTTATTAGGAGAAACACATCTTCCTTACTTCCTATCAATAAGCAGTAATTACTGAGGTAAAATTCTCAGACATGGTCATGAAGAGTAAGGCATTAATAACTGCTTTATAATGACTAATAAATAGTCAGTATGCTACTAGTATGCACGCTAATAAACAACTAGTTTATGGTGAATATGTGTACCTTAATATAAAGTGTTACATGTTGTTTAAAATAGTTGATTAATTCCATTTGATTGAACACTTCTGGATGTAACATGGATGCTTTAAATGTATGGTGGAATTTATTTTTTTCACAGTAATAGGTTGCCTAATGTGGCATATTTACATCTGAATCTAAATAAGACTAAATTCCTTCTCAGCTGTGTAAAGTCTAACATTAACAACATAATTTGATCTGAACTGGAGGACTATTAAATTCCTACTTTACATTCTTTCCATGTGAGGGTTGGGAAGCAAAGTAGCATTTCTTCTATTGTGAATGTCATACGTCATATATTGAAATTCAAAACCTTTTTACTGCTCATTCAAGCGTGCCCACACTCTGTTTCTCACGAATCCATTTGGTTTGTCTGTGCAGGAAAAGGGAAGCGCGACGGCTTTTTCTTACAATGAAAGTCAACCTCCAGTTTTACTACATCCCTGTTTGCAGGGCCGCCACAACTCCCATCTCCTCTATCAAGGTAAGGCCACTTCCTCTTGTCAACACGCCATCAGCCTGTTATTGTGTGAAAGTCAACATAACTCCAGAGATAACAAGATAAATAGCTTCTGACATAACAGAAAATCAGCACGTCAAAATGCCCATTACAATGCTCTCATTGTATGTTGAAGTGATAATGTAGTGTCACTGCATAGAGACACTCCAAAACATGGAATAATTATGTGCCTGTTTCTAAAAGAATATATGCATTTGCTATTTTGTATTTTATTGTTCTTGGTGTTGTTTGATATTTTCCATACCATATTTTATTATTCTGTGTAAATAGTGCTCACTTTTCTTTCTAATGATCAGTTTTTAGTCAGAAGTTTTGTTCCTTTTGTCCAAGGCCAGTGAGATTACCCTAAAGTAAATGTTATTTGTAGTGTCTTTTCTCCACCAAGGACTTCCTTCTGAACAGGCCTGAGTTTGGTATTGTTAAAAGAATAATGATAGCAGTACCAATGCCAGTATCCTGAAAGCGATACCAATACTATACTTCATTTGATACCTTGTTCTTTACTTCATTTGATATCCATCATGTGAACAGAAGCCACAGGTGTAATGTGTAGCCTAACTTTAGAAGGCTTTGGTGGCATCTCAACACATGGAACTGCCAACTCCATCAAATACGCCGCACTTGACTTCAGGATACCACAGACTGTATAGATTGTAGCTGCTTGTGTTGGCCAGTTACATGTTGCTTTGAACTGAAGAACATTTGCGGTGATTGGCTGCAAAGAAAACACCACAGTTTTTTTCCTAGATCTGAATACAAAAAGAATCGAATGCTTGTATCGTTTAACTGGGGAAGTTTCAGTACTACTTGGTACTCTGTTGTTTCAGTTTATGTTAAAGGCATCTAAAAGTGACCCACATGAATTTTGTAAGGAAAAACAAAAACAAGTAAACACATACAGTAGCCAGACAAAGAAAACCTTCAGGCTCGCTCACTGCTGTCAATTTTCCACATTTGATGTATTTTTTGTTTCACTTTCATGTTTCTTTTTCCAGGAAAACCTCAGTCAATCCAAGGAGAATCTCTGCACTCTTGGTTCCTACCTGAGCGTAGTGGACCCGTGGTACAACTCTAACATCAAGAGTTTAGGCTGCATGATCCCCAAACTGGCTAAGCTGGTACGATAAACTTCTAAACAAATCTAAGGAGGAAATGCTTTTTTTCTCCACAGCAGGTCTACGTTAGATAAAGCCATAGTTTCAGTTTGAGGGACTCAATTCTGAGTAGTTTACTTGCACATTTTCTCTTCCACTGTATTTTCTTGTCTGAATGACTTACAGTCACTGTAAGTGAAAACGAAAATGTCCTCACATCACCACATCTAATTTAACATGGCAACTGCGTTCTACATAAATTAAAACACAGGAAGTTGCGTAACATCTTAGTTACTTACTTAGTGCGAGGAAAAAAAAAATTGTTGATTTCACTGAAACCATAGCTACAGTCAAAGACATCTTAACACTTCGCTGATTCTCTAAGCCTCAAACAGGAAATAGACTTACAATGAAACTGGACAAAATATGCAAAGGAACATCTACAAAATAAATAAAGTTGAATGTAATCATTTGTAAATGGTATAGTGTACCAAAAAAAATCCATTCCTTTAAATGACATGTTTTTATGAGAATTGTAGAAAAGCTTTTTTGTTCTAGTGTTGAGTGCTCTCTGGCTAAATCCTTCCTGTCTTTCATTTCCTTTAAATACTCAACTAGATGTTGTGTAAGTGTTTTTTCTCGAATTCATGCATCCTCCTCCCTTTTTGAGAACTTTTCAAGTTACAGGAAAAAATAGAAAAGCATGCACTTTTGAATGGTTGAGGTTTTATTCATATTGCACATAAAGTATGATGTAAGTTCAAATTTAAATGCAAAACTTGTGACTCTGGGCAAACTACCAAGCACTGTTTGATTACCTGACAGACAGTCGACCTTTTTAGTGACTCATTATATTCACTTCATGTGACCCAAGTGTGACCAAAATGAGTTTGTGGTTACAGCATCATGCAGGCAGTAAGGTTAATTTTACATGACTTTTGTCTCCCTCAGCAACAGATGAGCCCAGGGAGGCCAAAAGAGCCCTTCGTGTCTGATGTCATTTCCTATTACGTTCGTGCCGGCCAGCAGCCTGTCTACTTCACCATCTACTTTGTTAAGGTACTAAGATACATTATATGTGCCTTTGTTTTGTTCCTGAAGGTTAAGAGCACAGTGTGCGCTCTGATGTGAAGCATCTACTGAGCTAAACAGCTTTATACTAAAAGGTTTTATTACAGAAATATTTAAATGTATTTTGGTTTTTAGAATTTGTTTGTTTTCCATTAGATCACATTCACCAGCATGACAAAGGATCCTGTGGAGGATGTGTTTCTCACCCATCTAGAAATGGAGTTTCCTGAGTTCAGACAGATCTCAGCGTCAATTAGAGGTGAACTAGCAACACATGCACATTGTCTTTTCTTTGATGGTTGTGCACACCTGCCTGCCCATATCTGCGCGCAGCCAAGTTTAACAACATGCCTGTCTCCGACACAGATAAACCAAAGAAGAGCTCAGCGGAGGTATGCGGAGCTGTTGTCTCGATGAATTACAGAAAGGTAAGTTGCTTTTTTTACATTCATTATTTCCTTATTAGATTACTGTCATGGGAGCTTCACTGTAGCCACATGCCTTCTCAATTACTGGAAGAATTGCTCCGAAATTTCCATTTCAGATTGTGTTGTTTGTGTGCAGGTGGCCCTTGTGTACATGCATAACCTCTGACACTTGGGTGCTTTGTTTGTGTGCATGTATTTCTGTGTGTGTGTGTGTGTGTGTGTCTAGGTGACATTAAGTGGACGAGACGTTGACAAAGGAATCTCAGTCAGGACATCGGGAGCTCAGATCAATGCTATTCCCTCTAATGAAGCAGAAGGTTCACTATCATCTCTTTTACATTATCTCTATTCAAGACTCAGTCCTACTGTATGTTTTATTTTGTCTTACACTAATGCTCTGTATTTTTCCTCTGCCTTTATCTTACAGATCTGAACTGTTTGACACTGACACTGAATGAATTTCCAACAAAGACCAAAAACAACACTGTGGTGAGTCTAAGCAATACATGGTATTTCTAGTGGATTATCCTATGTTAAAACAATGCATAGAACGCAAGTGGTTTATACAACAATAATTCCTTTCATCCTTTTACTGTGAAATTCTAAGGAGTCAAAGATTCGGACCAGCAACATTAAGATTCGCACTTTGGAGAGTCGCTCCTTCACTGTTACACTGGACAGAGACTGTCGTAGGACCTACAAAAATGTGCAGAGGTGAGACAGTCTCTTCTGTACTGTAATTTACTTAATATTTAAACCTGTTTGGTGTTTCATTGATTTGAAAAATCATCATCCATAGCCATCATTGCTACTAAAGCTCTAGTAGATCAAAGAGACCTTGATTATTTAAAGGGACAGTTCATCCCAAAACCAAAAACACAGATTTTTCCTCTTACCTGTAGTGCAGTAGTAGTGCGTAGAGATGTCTGCCTTGTCTCGAATATAATGGAACTTGATGGCACTCTGCTTGTGGTGCGCCAAAAAAATACATTTGAAAACCTTAACAGCAGTGTCTCTTTCCCAGTTACTCAAAATAATCCACAGACCTTGTTGTGAGTGGTTTCATGTAGGAACTTTTTTCTTACTACCAAACTACACCCACCAACCGTATCACGATGTAGAAGGAAGCATGTATGAACTCATGGGAAAGAGGCCCGTGCTTGTCACAGCACAAGATGTAAATATTAATGGCATCCTCTAAGGCTAAGGTGTAATGTTAGCTAGTTCATAAGTTCAAAGACATCTCAGTTTATTAAAGGGTCATGATTTCTGGAAGGAGATATTGCTGTTTAGCTTTTCAAATGTATTTTTTGGCACTATAAGCACCACAAGCCTAGTGCCATTGTGTTCCATTATATTGGAGAGAAGGCAGACTCTACAACTGATATCTAAAACACTTGGTATCTTACACCAAAACAATCTAGACTGACAGGTTAGAGGACAAATATGTATTTTTGATTGTTGGGTGAACTGTCCCTTAAAGGTCTCTTTTGGGTTTGGATTTGAAATTGCTCTTGACATGCATCACTTTCTCTTAATTGCAAATTAAGATCAAGCAGCTAGTAAGACAGACTTGGTGAATCTAGACCCAGCTGCTGTGCAACCCAAACTGACGGCTCTGTTTTTAACATGTTTGTGTTGTTGTAGCATCGAGATCTCCCCGTGCCTTGATCCGGGATACTGCGTCCAGAAAACCATAAGGTCCAAATTCAAGCTGGGAGAGGACAAAGATGCCGGACTGAGCAAATACATGAACAAAGGACTTCCTCTACCAATCAACACATTTGCTGGCATCATCACTTGACATGGTGGAGTAAGCCCAACGAGAAACTTGAGAATGGAGACCACCCAGACTTTGTTTTGATAGCGGGAATGGTTGTTGCTTCTGTAAAAAAAACAAACAAAAAAAAGTCCAGTCTGACACATGAAAAGACAAAAGGAATAACCCTTGAGTCATACTGAGCTGCTCCTGAAACCAAAGTGTTTCATTTCTGTCAGTCAGGGCCAACTGGCACGAATGCAAAAAGACTTTAAATCAAAAGCAACTTGAGGCCAAATCCAACACATCGTACAGTACTATTGTCACTTCTCACTTCTTGAAGTCAGTGGAATAGCCTGTCTGCTTCTTTTACAGTAACAGGAATAACATTGTATCACACTGTGGGGTATGACTGAACTCCTAACAGTGTGTCACTCTTTATGAGTGAACTATTGTACACACCTAATAATGCCAAAGAACAATTCTGCCTGTGAAACTAGAGACACGGGCAAAGAAACATAAGTAAGCAAAGTATGTATCTGTACACATCAAAGATTTCAGGACTACTGATATCACTTATCATGTGATGTCATAAAAATCTGGAAAAACTGTTTCTCCAAGTCACGGCTTGGTGAGGCAGATTTGAAGGGTTGATTGTAACAGCTACTCTGCTTCATAGACACACTACTTTTTACCACCTTATTGACACACACACACACACACACACAAAACAACACAGACTCACCTGGCCTGTCAGCGAATGAAAGATTGTGGAAAGACCGGTACGATGACGGCTGACAGTTAAATGTTGCCTTCGTCTTAGCTGAATCATTCAAATAACGTGTTATTCCCATACAAATTACAAGCTGTTATGAAGGTGAACGTGATTGACATTTGCCTTGGGTTTAGTTTTTGGAAACATTCTTGACATTTTTCACAACTACACTATGCTCAGTGCTGAAGCTACATCCACGTGTCAAGAATTACTACAGAACAGAAGCAGCTTTTGTGCTTTACTGTATCAGACAGACACGGGGATTATGCACAGCCTTAGCTAAATTATCTGTTGGACTTAATACTGCTGACTTCAGGCCACTGTCTGCTACCCAGACGTGCAACATTCTGTTTCACTCTTGACAGTATACAGGAAGGAGAGCAAAATTTAGGGGGAGACTCTCAAAGTGAAACGCACACATGCTAGGAAATGTCTCAAGGTGCGAGAATCACCTCTGACCATGTGTTCGATGGTGCATCAGTGTGCTAACTTGCATCTATTTGCACTTCAACAGCAGGTTTGTTTTCTATTATTCAGCAACAGTGTGTAAAGCAAATACCCTCTGGCTCCTAACTCACTCACTGGTCAGTGGCCCTATGCTTCAAAAGTTGATGCTCTGTGTACTGCTGTAGCGTCAGTTTTGGACATGACAGTCTCCATATCAGTTTCCGCTCGTTACACGCTGCAGTGTCTTACAAAAAAAACCCTCTATCTTCAGAGGAAATAGTAGTTTTGCAATTAAATCTACATTAGGTTAAGGCAGCTAAAATACTAATAAGGATTATGGTCTGGGTTGAAATAACTACATTTGATACAATAGCTTAAGAAGTATGTGGCATTATTACTGTCATGTGATGTATGCCGATAACTATGTTACGTGGTTAAAAAAAAACTCAAGTAGACTTTTGGTTTCACATGGGACACAAGCATTCGTCTCCTGAGTGTTAGTCCTGTGTGTGTGACCCATCCACCTCCCCTCCCTCCCAGTCTTCTCTGAGTTTCTCGCTCTTTCTGTTATGCTATTGCTGGGGACGGGATCACATCGGAGTTAACTGAAAGCCTGGTGTGTCTCACAGAGCTGTGGGGTGTCTTGAGTGTCGGTAACAGAAGCCAAGGGCCACTGACCAGGCTGCCTTATTCAGATACCCTGGGAATGACAACGGGTTGGTTAAGCTTAATAAGACAACATGTGTAATTATGTCATTACTTTTCATGTCATAAAGACATGACAAGTTATTAGAGGGCCATTCAAGACATGACACAACTATTTGACTAAGCTGTTATTCATAAAAATGATAAAGCTGTTGTTTTTGCCTCAGAATGATTATATTACACACTCAAGAATGGCTCGGAAGCCTATTGATGCATCTCCACAGGTATGATCTCAGGCAGTAAAGGTCAACAGCCTCAGTAACTGGAAGTGATGTGTTATACTGGCAGGGTAGATTCATGAGTTTGGAATTCATGATGCATTTTGCACATTATTTTTCACCTAATGACATATGTAAAGAGGATGCCATTAAAATCAAAATGTAATTGTGTAAATAAATGATTTTGTTTTTGTAAAGCAGTATTTGTTTTTTGTAATAAATCCAATAAATTTCTAAATAAATATATTTTTCTGAATACATGACCTCTGAACTACTTGAAAAGAGGTTTGATTTAGAAAAGACTGATGTACCTTGGACTTGGTGACTTCTCCCGAGCTGTATGTGCGATCAGTGACCTCCAGATGGCACTATTTAGTTACCATCTAACCAGCTTGAGCATTGGTTAACACAGGGACACTCCTGTGCGCTGTGCACACACCAACACCTGCCACAGCTGGTGGTGGACTGCCGGAGCACCTCGCTCTCTCTCTGCCTCTACAGGTTGGTGTCTGACTGGCGATGACTCAATGAAATACAGCACTAAGCTGCGACTGCCAGACCCTCCCCTGTAGTCTCCCCCTTTGCTGTTCCCAGCCGCTGCAACTGGAAGCGTATAGAGAGAAGAGAGCAGAAGAGCAGCTGCTGGACCGATGGAGAAGAAGCAGGGATCTTCTCATCAGTACGGTTCACTGGAGCGCACTGAATGGAGCAGAGGCACCAACAAACCAGGTTACCCATTGAGCACACCATGCAATATTATTACAAGCCGATCTATTGACTGTGTAAAGTGACATTACTGTATATATTTTGTCTCTCTACGGTATCACTCTAAATTGTATCACTGTACTTAATGTTCTTACTACCATAACACTGCTACAGGGAGTTACAGTGTCTTTGTGAATAGTGAATTTCTAGTAACCTCAATTTGTTTCTACACTTATTTTATAATATAATCTATGGCATTGTCTCAATATCTATGTATGGCGTCATAGGTTTGTTTTATGTTGTCCAACCAAAGTGTATAACAGGATTTCTATGGTTTGATTTGTTGTCTTCTACTTTTATATCTGAGTTATTTTTACACTTGATGGAACCAATCAATGCAGTTCTCTAGTTGCAGTACAGGAAGCAGCTCTGCAAATGTCAAGAATCCACAGGTGTTTGTTCTTCTGTAGAGTGTATGTGTGTGTGTGCATGTATTAGTCATGCTGTAGGGACATAAATCTGTTTAAACAGTTACATTGTGGGGACTTGCCTTCATTTTGGGACAAAATGCAAGTCCATATAATGTAAACCATTAGATTCTTAGGGTTAATACTTGGGAAGGGTTAGGGTTAGGCAAGCAGTGATTCCAGGAAATGAATGCAAGTTAATGTGATGTCCTCTGAAATACTGGAAACACGACTGTGTCTGTGTGTCCTTATTTGTGTCAGAGAAAAGTAAGGGCCCATTACTCAGGGACCTGCATCCTCAAATTATGAATAATGACCTACATGGGAGGCTTGGCAGGACATTGGCTGCATCTCTTTGTTCGATATTGCGTAGTGCTTCTCACAGTGATAATGTTCCTTAAAAGCCTGCAACTATTATGTGATTTTACTGTTGATGAGGCATAATTTTCTCAATGAATCAACTACACAGTGTCCACTGGAATTTTCTACAGCCCACGATGATATCTTCAGATGTCCTTTGTGTCTGACCAATAGTCCAGAATGATTTAAACCAGAGAAAAGCAGTAAATTCAACACATTGGAGAAGCAGGAACCAGAAAAAGTTTGACATTTATGTTTTAGTTCTATTCCTCTACACTGCTGATGGTTATTTTATTGCATTACTGTTGTGTGAATTAGTTGATCGGGGAGAAAGTGTGTAAAGATGCATCGAATCTCTTTTAAGTCCCCTATCTGTTTTTCCTCGACATGCTTCCTTTTTTCATCCCACTCCTTCCCATCTTCCCCACCTCTTATCTGCTACCTCCTCCTCATCCCTCCACCTCTGCCTCCTGGTCTCTAATCTAAGCTGATATGTCTGTCAGTACGGTGTTCTACCTCATTAGGTGTAAAGCACATTGTGGCAGTGTAAAAGACAGGGGTTGAGTCAGGGTAAAGACTGTAAACTGAGATCATCATTGTGACTCACATCTTCAGGGCTTTGGAAGAGGAGAGGGGCAGGGTTCGGAAGGTAAGGGGGTGAAATGAGGAGAAGCGAAGGGAGATGATAACTGTGGGTGTGAGAGAGAGAAAAAGAGAAAAGGGGAGAAGGTATATGGAGGGAACATTTCAGAGAGGTCTAGTGATGAGTCATAACTGCTCAGTGGCAGAATAACCTGTCCTAGAGAGCCTCTGCAGCAGAACATGTTGTCTCTAACGATGTAAGAATATACTAAACAACGCTAACAACACCATGTTTTACGTTTTTAGCTCATGGTCCAGTGTTTTAGTCGGTTGGAATCATAATCACTCAAGCTTGTCAATTTTCATGGCAAGAAAACGTGGTGAATGAACAATAATCATGCTCGCAGGTAGTGTCTCCGATACGAAGCCGTGTCAGCAGATCCTGTTTGTGTTTTTAAGCACAGTATTTCATCAGTTTTATGAATTAGGTGTTACTGTTGTTAATCATTCAGCATCTATAATGTAATGAGTATGCAGTGTGAAAGCAGCGTGATGAGATTACAAAGAATAAGTGAGAGGCTCTTTCTGTTTTTTTCACACCTACTTTCTTTCTCACTCACAGGCACACACACACACACACACACACACAATGCTAACTACAAGCAAAGATACCTTCCTGTAGCACATATTTGGTTTTCCACATGAACCAGTATCAGTCTACAAATATCTGGGATTTTTCTTAGAAGAAAATTTGTCTTTTAAACATCACATTGAGTGTCTTACTAAAAAACTCAGGGTTAAGTTGGGTTTCTATTTCAGAAACAAATGTTGTTTCTCCTTTAGTGCGAGAAAAAGACTTATACAAGCAACATTTCTATCAATATTTGACTATGGTGACATTTTATATATGCATGCAAATTTATCTTCTCTGAAAATGCTGGATTCAGTGTATCATGCAGCATTAAGGTTTGTAACTGATTCTGGTTTTCGTACTCATCACTGCAGCTTGTATGAGAGTGTTGGTTGGCCTTCTTTGCACAATCGTAGATTGGAACATTGGTACATTTTTCTTTATAAGGCCATATTGCGTGATTTGCCTTCTTATTTGTGTTCTCTCTTGATTCCTAAAGTTGCCAGGAGCTGTAATCTTCAGTCAGATGGACAAATTATGTATGTCGTTCCTCGAACGCAAACTGTCTTTGGTGAAAGTGCCTTTAAAGTATTCGCACCCTCGTCCTGGTGTGAGTTACAGAGACATTTTAAAATGGATTACCTGCCAAGTATGGAACATTTTAAAAGTAGGATTAAGGACTATTTGAGTACTGAATGCACATGTCCTGTTACTGAGCGCTGCTGGTGATTACTGTCTTGAAGTGAATTGCCAACTGTTTTGTAACTGTTTGTTTCATGTTGTCTGTTTTAACCTATTGTGTTTTTTAGTGCAACTATTATGCTGCTGTCTTGGCCAGGACTCCCTTGCAAAAGAGATTCTGAATCTCAATGGGACTATTTCCTGGTAAAATAAAGGTTAAAATAAAAAAATAAATAAATAAATAAAAAAACCATCACAAGTATGTGTCCCTTTACCATGGCAGTGAAAACCTCTGTAACAATGTCATGGATCAGATGCTCTGTCTTAGTTTTTGTTGTAACCCACAAAAGACCTTTATGTACAGCAGAAAAGCACAGGTGGGACTATTAGCTCCAACAATGGCTCCCCACCAGCAATTATTGCAGCTCAATGTAGCAGTTAACAGTTATTTGTTACACGTGTGCTCCACAAGTAAGAATGAACGCTGTCAACAAAGGTTATTTATATAGCTGTTTGTCAAGTTCTTTCATTTCAGTTAGAAACTCACTGTCTTAAGTTTAAGCATCAAGTAAGGACTAGGTAGTAAGGTAAGGATTAAGTTAACGCAGACATTCCTAAAAGGTAAAACAAAAATAAAATTGTCACTTTATGACTGCCATGTCATGAACAAAAAGGTGTCATCTGCATATTGTTGTTGGCGCTGCTGTTGCAAATACAAGTGGATTGCCTTCTGTTTTCCTCAGAGCCCAAAAAACTACCACATTTTTACCAGTTACTTCAATTGTTCCAGTGTCTGCCATGTCCACTATGGGGAATATTATTGCCAAGAGCTTTCACTGACACACTATGGTAACTGGGGATAGCTACTGGGAGCTATTGTCTTCCTGTTTTGTTACACAATGGTTGACACATTTCCTTTATGCTGTAAATGGAGCCTACACTGTCACAGGAGATTGTAATTGGTGGCAGATAGACATTGCAGTTCATTGCATAGTGAATGTAAGGTGTAAAGGGGACCTATATAAACGCAGAGAGCGTCATAAGTCTAATGCCATTATGTCGTGCAATCAACATTTTCTTAATAAGTTAAAGGAAAAAAATTGAGAAACAAAAGATTGGTATTTTATATGGTTGCTTGTTTGAGCTGTGGTTATTTATTTTTCAAGTTGTAGGTGTGAACAGTTTTGCTAGGGGACCTAAAACCAGCAATAACAATGGCGTGTTTGTTAAATGATGGGACAATGATTGGCCTAGTTTAGCATAAAGAAGCATTTTCATCAGCACAAACGTGAGCTTTAGAGGTGCTGTCATCATTTATTTGAATCTTGGAAAGAGCCAGGTTTGCTGATTCCCTGTGCCTCTGATCTTCATGCTTTTGATTTTCTCATCTAACCTTGACTCTCTGCAATGACGTGAATCCCTTTAAATCCCTTTAAGCCCAGGCTATTATTTGCTTGAATCACTGGACTCAACTGGCTTGTATTTGGGACGGGCGTCGATATGAGACAGGCTTTTAATTCCTTTTTCACAGAATTATTGCTCAGCAAAGATGGGAATTACAATCAATTGTTTATTTATACCAGTATGAATATTGCTTGTATAGAAATTAGGCTTCGAATAACATATCAATTATGTGTTATCTTCTGACACTTGTTTCACTACACCTGAGGATAACAACACCCGGCATACTGACACAACACAACTTTATCCTGTTAAAGCATGTTCATAACTTTGATTAATTTTCATGAAAAACCCTTTTGATTCTTTTGATTGGTGGACGCTTATGGACGAAAGGAATATAACTAACTAACTGGTTAACTGAGGAATGGACACATACTCTGACTTTATGATAGCTTCAGAGGAAGGGAGTCACCACTTGTTTTTCTTCATGCCAGTAAATCTGATTTAATTACGGTCTTCTCTGGTGCTCATGGTTTCAGTAAAATAAAATGAACTGAGCTAATGGTATGTAGCATCTCCATATTGACAAAAGTCAATAGTATTTATATTTATAAGTCTGATCTAAACAGCTAACTAATGTTAGCCCAAGTGGGTAGTCAACAACCCAGTTTATACATCCAAAGAACCGCTTGGCAACCAGACCGGGAATCTAATTGAGACAGGCCTTTATTTGTCAAAATCTGTAGCTACACCGTGCTAGTAAAAGAGGCCAAGCGTTTAATTGGCACTAGGCTTTTAAATAAATTTCTACATTATCCCTTTAAAATGTAAAAGATGACACAAAATGCTCATTTAACCTTTTACAACCGTATACATACATAGACATAGACTACCACAACTGTGTACACAGACTGTAAAAATAATGGATTTAGCCACAGTGATGTCACCTATTGGTTTGTGGACTCCTGTTTTTATTCTTGAGTTTGACATTTTGGACGTGACTATCTTGGATTTTGGAGCCAGAAGTGACAGTGATATTTGGAAGAGAGGGTGGAGCTGTGGAGGAGTGAGGGGTGGATCTGACTCAGAGACTGTGGTGATGCCTCACAGACAGCCTGTCACCCAGAGCAGACACATCCTTAAATATGCATAACTTTAAGCATTAACAAAATGCAAAGAGGTGAGTTATATAAAAATTCACCCCCTGTACAGTTGTCATTAAGGTAGAAATTCTCTACAGAGATCAAAACCATTTATTGTACCAGGCTATAAACATGTTTATTTCTGCTGTAAAGTTGGACATTTTAATATGAGTGTCTGTGAGGACTGAGCCTGGTCTCACCCAAGTCATCAAAATCCAGCACTTGGGCAGTGACTTTTGGTGTCAAAAACCAATGAAAAAAAGGCGTCTTTAAATGTCGGCATGATACGTGGCCAGTTGCCTTTATAGTTTAACGGCACCTGGTGGCATCAGGGGGAAATGCAGTGGGACAAGGACGAAAGTTAAGGCGGCAAAAGTGCGAGTGGAGCAGGTGGTAGGGGTGGTGAATGAGTCCAACAAACCACGACTTTCACCCAAGAGGGTGGTGTTTGTGTCCCGTTAGATTCTAAAGCCAATACCCTGTTCTTTTTTCCTAAACCTAACCACTTGCTTTTGTTGCCTAAACCCAACCATGTGTATTTGCTGTTGAAGGTAAAAAAAAAAGTTAATTTGGGGGGTTGTACCGACGTAGAAAGAGACTGTATGTAAACGTTAAATTTCCTGTGAAAACAGGTGTATCTTGAAAGAAGACAATGCATGTAACAGGCAGAACTTGACAGTGTCCCAGAATGTCAACAAGCAATGCACCCAGGGTACCTTGCACTTCGTATGTGGACGTGGAAACCAAACATCAATATGTGAGGAGGTCGGAGTGAGAATGTGTTGGAGAATTGACTCGCTTCCAGAGCTAGCCTCAAGTGGCCATTTGAGAAGCTGCTTTGAAAAATTATGAATATTTTGGTTTTCTTGTACAAAATGAATAAAATTTCAGTTGTCTTGTGTTTCAGCAAGAAATAATATTTTAACGTAGTACCCTTAGAAATCAGTCGGATTTGCTACTTTATAGTGCAGTGAATTTAACTGGACTTCAGTTTACACTTCTGAAACGTATGGGAAGGTGTATAGTTCAATGTATGTCTTTTTATAGTTTTCATCCCATCAACAGTTGAATAGACCTGCTGCAACACCTCGCTCAGTGCTTTCTCCTCTGAGATGTCAAGGTTGTGTTGACGCTACATTGACGTCAGCAAGATTTGTCATAGTAACAGAGCGTCTGTGTAAAGATGTGTGTCTGTACATCAGGAACCGTTTTTGTCTGTCACACAATGCAGACTGCAGTTGCAAACCCCCAAACAAAGCTGTAACGCCAGCAGGGATACGTATGAGTCCATGTAAACTGGCAATTATCAGCAAGCATGCTTAATGCTTCCCACGGTGCTTTTGCTACTACCCCGAAGTCACACAATCTCAGCTTGAATTGTTATGATCCACTTCTATTCTGCCTGATTTCATGCCAGTGCAGAGGACGTGTCTTCACAGCACTTTGAACCCAGTCAGCCCTACCTTGCCCAAGGCTAAATGTGACTAGAATAGAGATATTACATAGAGCTCTTCTAAGTAATGGTCTGTGTGTAAAAAGAGGATTTAAGGGCCCCAGGAAGAGTCAGGGACTGTAAGTTGGTGGTTGTATTGGTATCTCCCTTGTTATGTTTGTTTCAGCCCCCATGTTGTGCAGCTCTCTGCAGGGAGGCGACAGTTATCCAGGACCGCTACAGTGCTAAATAGAACAATTTGAAAGCAAGCAGGGGTGATTTTCTTCCATTGTAAAGTCCCGACTGTCATAACACCTACCAGAGGAAGGTCAACCATACTTGATCTCAGGGTAAATTAAATCTAATGTCATGTATATTGATTTGCATGGCTAAAACTAATGCTTTTTTGGAGGTGGTTGCAGTTAAATGTTTGATACACTGGTGGCTATGATTCTATTGCAGCTGCTGCTGCTGCTCACAGTGTATAGTTGCCACTGTGTGAAATGCTTTGATGTCCTTTCATACCAACATTTCCAGGGGCCTTGGGTCGGATTCATTAAAAAATATTACAGAGCAGCTTGGAGCAAGCCCACACAGTGCTGTACATTGTGGCTTAGATGTGTTTGGCAAACACTGTATAGTTTTATATTTGTTGTATTTTAGATTGAGGATTGGCTTTTCACTATGAAATGTCTGTTTAATTTGAAAGGATAAAAGGAGAAATGCAGGTAGAGTGACATGCATAATGAGACAGATTTACACTCTGCATTATGTGTGATATTACTTTTCACTGAGCCATCAAGGCATCCTCTGCGCAGTATATGATTATTTAATTGTTTGAAAGCAGAGCTGCTGTGTTTGCGTGAGAGAATATTACAGAGGTTATTCACTACAGTCTCATTGTTCTGTGGAAATAATTATGAGCCATTCTGTTTTTTCTATGTACACGCTGAAATGGAGGGTACTTTAAATTGTTGAATGACTTCTGATTACACTTGAGACAACTATATAACTATTACTTGCAGTATATTTATTCTAATTATGTCTAATGCACTAGCCAAGCACATGCTGTGTGTATTATAAAGATGCCCAGCCAGAAAGGTAATCATTATAACAAGTGACAAAGGTCTTTAACTCGGTTGGATACAAAATACTTTTTTTTTTCTACCTTAATTTCACTCTGGTGGTTCAGATTCACACATGGCTCTTTTCCTTAGCAAGAATAATGCACTCTTAAGTTTTCCTAAATGTTAACTTAAAGGGGACCTATTATGTTTTTTCTTATTTTCTGTCAAATGTATAATGTTACAATGTCGGATGTTTATATTAAACATGGCCAAAGGTTCAAATAAAGAGTTTAACATATGTAAAGTAGTCCATGTGAGCAAAAACCCCAGGCTTCAGACAATTCTGAATACTCTGTTTCCAACTTTTTTTCTATTTCTGAGACAAGCTGACATGAGCTTGTGACAGATTTCCTTATATGGTCATATGCTCCAGACACAATACTGCAAGTAGCCTACACTGCTACATGTAGCTACATGTTATGTCAGGGAAACCTGTAATTATTGGTTGCCAATGTTGTTAATTTCTCCCCAGTCTTGGACCATATTCCTGTTGGAACGTTTGGTTGTAAAGATTTTGGTTTAGAAGATTTTACTGATGATTAAACAGAGATTAAAGAGACAGGTGCTAAAACAGCATTTCAGAGGGTGAACACGAGTGTTCCAGCATAGAGAGTATTAAGAAAATAAAGTGTTTCTTCAACATTAAAACATGTAAACATGTTCTTGTACAAACCCAAAATACGTAGTATGAACCTGAAAGTGAGCATATTGTGTCCTCTTTAATGTTGTTCCACAGTCAGATTTCGAACTACAATGTTGAAATTATAATAAAAGTAATTAGAGACTTCTTTATTATCCAAGTGAGGTGGTGTGTCACATTTAACTGCCTCTGTGTTTACGTTTACCACTGATTACATTGTTTACTTGCACCTATTAAAAATGTGTTTTAGAAGTAGGGCTGCAACTAAGTTACTTTATTGATTTTTTTTTTTTTTT